AACCCCTTCCCCCCTCTTCCTCCCCCCATCCTCCTCCCCTCCAGACAGACTTCATTATGTTAATGAAAGAGGTAGATAACGGCACACATGGTGGCCTTCTCAAGTTATGCCGTGTTTGTTTAAACAATCCTTGATGCTGTGTTGCTCTTAATACCAAGGACCTGATTTCGGAGAGGGGGTGGGGGAAAAAAAAAAAAAAGTTTTTTTTTGTTTTTTTGGTTTTTTTTAAATTCTTTTCGGTGGGAAGACCTCAGGCCGGTTAGCTGGAGCTGCACCCCCCAACCCCGTTTGGGCTGCGGCCTTCTCCTCCTCGCTGCCCAGCCCCAGCGGCCGGGGAAAGGGGGTCGGAAGCGTGCGCATCCCGCGTGAGTGTCCTGCTTGTACAAGTCACCCTCCTCTCTTGTGTGATGTTTTTCAGAGGGGCTTCTGAACAATGCCAGGGATACAAGTGTCACGGATACTCTACCACTGAATGGTAATCACGGCAACAACAGCTACAGCATCGCCGGCGGCGAGTACCTCAGCAACTGCGTGCAAATCCTTGACCGCGGGTACAACCACACCGAGAACGCCCTGGAGAAAAAAATCCTGAAGGAACTCACCTCCAACTACATCCCTTCCTACCTGAACAACCACGAGCGCTCCAGCGAGCAGAGCCGCAACCTGATGAACAAACTGGTCAACAGCGTGGGCGGCGGGAGCGAGGACGACGCCATCGTGCTGGACGACGCCACCTCCTTCACCCACGAGGAGAGCCTGGGCCTGGAGCTCATCCACGAGGAGTCAGACGCCCCGCTGCTCCCCCCCAGGGTGTACTCAGCGGACAACCACCAGCCCCACCTCTACAGCCGGCGGCGCATCCCCCAAGACAACAGCGAGAGCTTTTTCCCCTTGCTGACCAACGAGCACACGGACGACCTCCAGTCGCCCAACAGGGATTCTCTCTACACCAGCATGCCCGCCCTGGCTGGCATGCCCATGACAGAAAGCGTCGCTGCCAGCACCCAGACCGACCCTCCACCGGCCAAAAGCGGCGGCGACGCCGACGACGTTTACTACAAGAGCATGCCCAACCTCGGCTCCAGGAACCACGTCCATCAGCTACACACGTACTACCAGCTAGGCCGAGGCAGCAGCGACGGTTTTATAGTCCCACCCAACAAAGAGGGAACCCCCCCGGACGGCAATGCAAAAGGACCCGCTCACTTGGTTACTAGTCTATAGAAGAT